CGGCATCATCACCCACCTGCTGGGCACCTGGAAGGCCATCATGGCACACGTGCCGGCCCGGCAGCTCCGGAGGCTGAGCCGCAGGGCGCGCGGGCCACTGTCCCCAGAGCAGTTCTTGCCGCACGTGGACGGGGCGCCCGTACCCTACAACAGCCTCTCGCTGGACCTGTTCATGCTCGGCTACTTCCAGCTCCTGGAATGCGACCTGCCGGCCGAGGAGCGCAAGATGCGTCACCTGCTGTGCTTCGAGGTCTTCGAGAACCTGGGTGCGCACGGCTGGGAGGCGGTGCGCGCCTTCCACAAGGCGGTGACCGACGAGGTGGCCGCGGGCCGCCGTACCTGGACCGACGGCTTCGAGGACATCAAAGCCCGCTTCTTCGGCTCCAGCCAGGGTCCAGCCTGGGACACGGAGCCTGGCCGCAAGCTGGGCCTGACACCACTAGGGTCCTTGCCCCACGCTGCCCTCCCGGGCAGCGGCCCCAAACCTGTCGCCCCGAGGCTGGGGTCTGACTCCCAGCGGGACAGCTTCAACAGCGGAGACATCTGTGGCTACATCGACCGCAGCTTTGCCTTCTGGAAGGAAAAAGAAGCTGAAATGTTTAGCTTTGGAGAATGACAATTCTGGTGACTGGAATTCTGGGGCGGGGGTGGGGGGTAGTGGGTTTCCTCTTTTTTATTCTCTGCGCCCCCTGGGGGATCCGATGAAAGCAGGCATGGTGTTGGCTGACTCCAGTCTGTCTTCATGGAGATCAGAGGTCTCTTAAGCCATAGGTGTCCATCTCTTCTGAGCAGTGACTTAAGGTCAGAGTCCTTGTCCTTTGTGAGCGCAGGCTTCAGGTCCCCAGGAGGCCATGTGGGTATGATGGCCCTGCAGCCAAGGAGCTGGCATCCCAGTACCAGGGTCCCCCTGCCATTCTTGCTCCCAGCAGTCACCGGGATGTCCCATCCTGTTTCCATGGTGCAGCCACAGCCACACAGTCTCCCTTTGGGCCTCAGCCCTGGGCCTGCCTCGGCTTGTTTTTTCCCCTGGAAACCTCCTATCTGTAAAACCGGAGGGGGGTTCTGTGTCTAGAGTGAACAGTCTCCCTGGCAGGAGGGAGGAGGAGGTCAGGAGGTGACCCCAAATCCCCAAGGCAGACAAGTGCCCTTGTGTTGACTCTCCTGCTGGTCAGTCATAGCTGCGCCTGTCATGCAAGCAACAGCTCTCCTCTGGTACTGCCTGATTCCCCGAGGGAAGGCTCCTTGTTGGCCTTTGTCTTTTAACTGCCAGCCCCTCCCAGATCCTCAGCTGGAGGCAGTGACAGGGCCACAGGTGTCCCTAAGAGCAAGGCCACCAAGCATATCCACCAAGAGGTGAGGAGTTCTCTGAGCAGAGAGGTTGGCACCCTCTGAAGGTAAACTGAGCTTCTGAACCTGGGAATAGCACACAGCAAGGGTGGGGCATACCAGGGGTGCTCATGTGGGCATTTGGGTGTCACCCACATAAAGTTCTTTCCCACTTAGGTACAGAGAGAGGAGCCAAACACCTCTGGGGGTTCCAGGTACTGTAGAGAACCACTGCAGCCAGGTGCTAGAGAGGGAGCCTCCAGACGGCTGACTGTTAGAACGGCTCATCTCCAACTTCTGGTGGCTTGCAGGATGTGCCACCACCCAGCTCGTGGGGCCCAGGAGAACTGGCTGGAACCCATGGGGATTCTGGGGAAGACTCCAATAGGCCATGGGAAAGGGACCTGAACCCAAGCCCCTTGGAGCATGCACAATGGGGACAGGCCATCTCCAAGAGTCTCCTGCAGTGTCCCTAGCTCACCACTGGGGGGAGCAGGAAGCCCTGACCTTGGGGCTCTTGGATGACAGGCTGCTGACTGGAGCAGAGCCTTCAAAGACTCAAGACTAGGTAGCCGTCCCACACAAAGGGACCTCCAGGGAGAAAAAATTGGTGTGAACAATGGGTGTTGGTGCTGGAAGAGCCACAGAAGCCAATGGCATAGGTCCTGGCTACAAGTTGCCTCCAGCCCTAGGACCTGCTCTGGGGTGACTGGGTGAATCCCCCTACCCAGTCCTTAGCTTCCTTTGCTTCTAGAGCCTCACCAGGAGCTGCAGCTGGATGTGTGTTTGCTAAATAAAGTTCCTGTTCCTGGCTGGTGCTCACTTGCTTATCACTCCAGCCCCTGGGAAAGCTGCCTGTGTCCACAGAGCCTGGACACTGAGTGGACACTCAGACCCCGGTTCACTCAGAGCAGCTGCAGGCAGCATCAGGGCAAGCTATGAACCCCAAGAGAATCCAGACTCCTCCCTACACCATGGGATCAGGGATGTGGTGCTGATGCTGGCTTGCCATCCCAGGTCCTGGTGGGATTGAAGGGTTGGTGGGTGAGGGGTTCTGCCCAGAGACTCCCCATAAACTCAGATGCTCACTAGTCTGTGGTATTTCCATGAGCAGACACTAGTGGGCAGGACAACTGTAAGGTAGTTACTGTCACCTCCTTTAGAGTGTAACAAATAAGGAGGCTGGATTGTGGAACGAGAGGGCAGAAGTCACAGAGCCCAGCCTTGTGTTTCCTAGTCAATAAGTGGGCACACCCAATCCTCACAGCCTTTGGGCCTCAGTTTCTCATCTGATAGGCCAGACTTAGACTCTCAGGGACACCAAAGACGATTCGAGGGATCTGGAACTAGACTGGATGCCAGGCAAGAGAGGCAGTGGAGACTCAAACCTAGGTTTGTGTCCCAAAGGGAAGGCAACTGTTGTATCTACATCGCTTCAACAGGAAGCTGCCTAGAGATTCTGGTTCTCTGGCCTGGGAGAAGACAGGTAGCTGATTTTCAAAGACATTCTGATAGTTCTGATTCCTTACCTATCAGGCTAGCGGATTCTGGCTCTCTAAAAGCTCCCCTGTGGGGAGCAGATGCCCACATAGGCAGAGGTTGGCCCCTCAAGGCCACACTCACGCTTATGGACTCATATATTTGTTGTCCTGCTGGCAAAACCCCTCTGAGGACTCAGAACTCCTTCATATACACCCTGGAGGTTGACGCCACAGAACAAGGCTTTCAGGTAAGTTAGAGCCCTTTTGTTAGTGTGTAAATGTGTGCAGAAAGAATATACAGAGAAGTAGAAACCATGCCAAGGTGAATAAAAGAATACTACCGTTCGCCGGACAGTGGGGGCGCACACCTTTAATCCCAGCACTCGGGAGGCAGAGGCAGGCAGATCTCTGTGAGTTCGAGACCAGCCTGGTCTACAAGAGCTAGTTCCAGGACAGCCTCCAAAGCCACAGAGAAACCCTGCCTTGAAACCCCTCACCCCCTCCAAAGAAAAGAATACTACCCCCCCTTGGTGACCAGAGCATGCATAGTAAGATGTCAGTACTCCCAGATCAAGGAGGGCTTAATGCAAAGTTGAGATTAAAAACAACAGCAACTGTAAAGACCAGGTGGTGGTGTCGCAGGCCTTTAATCCCTGCATTCAGGAGGCAGAGGCAGTAGGATCTCTGTGAATTCAAGGCCTGCCTGGTCTACAAGATAAGTTCCAGGACAGCTAATACTGTTACACAGAGTTGAAACCTTGTTTCAAAAAACAAAACAAACAAAAGTCATCAACTGTAAAGTTCCTTTCAAAGAAGCACAGACAAAGGTTTGCACATCAACTCATGAGTTTGAACTCTCGGTCCCCAGTTGGTGATCCTGTTTTGGTAGGATGTGGAACCCACTAAAAGTAGAAGTTGACCAGAGAAAGTAGCTCACTGGGAGAGGGCCTTGAGGTTTCACAGCCAAGGTCTAGTGACTATCTGCTTTCTGTTTCCCAGTTCTGACACAGTATGACCAGCTGTCTGATGCTCCTGCTGCCACGCTTATCCCACCGTGATGGGCTGTGCCCCTTCAAACTGTGAGCCAAAGTGAACTCTCATCCTTAAGTTGCTTCACCACAACACGAAAAGTAACTGATCCAGAAGCTATGGAGCCTCTGAGGAGCTGTGAGGCCTCCAAGAAGGCCCCCAGCGGCCCTGCCCTCTGGTAGTCACAGCTCATACCCCCAGAATACAGCAGACACCGAGGGTGTCATTTATGATTACACTGTGGAAGGCAGTGTGACTCCAATTATATGGTGACTTCTTTCTACACCTCAGGGAAGCCAGTAGCAGGTGAGGAGAGACCCTGTAGAGACCTGGGGGGTCCCTACCCCAAAGCAGCCTTTAGAGGACCAAAGTTTGAAGGCTTCTTAGTACAGCCTGGTAGGAAATTCTGAGAGGACCACCTCAAAATGGTGCTTGTGTGGCACTGCTCTTTTGAGTCACTAGACTTGGGGACAAGTTGTTCCACAGCAATAGCTGACAGATGCCGCAGGGGAGCATAAAAAAGGAGCTTGATTCTGACCTGAGGTGTCACTGTTAAACAGAGCAGCATTGATCCAGCAAGGTGCTTCTGACCCAAGAACAGAGAAGCCTGACTGTTCACACATGGAAAGCACGGCCTGAGATAAAGTGCTGCAGCCAGATAAGAGGTATCATAACCGAGGGAGCATTATAGATTTGAGGAGAGGTCTGGCACTAGGGAGATTTCCAGAGTTCTACAAGGATGACACAACTGGCAATCTAAGCAATAATGGAAAGGCTACTTTAAATGCCCTTCCCTGGATAATGAGATTGATGACTGCCTTATATGCCACCCTAGAGCCTTCATCCAGTGGCTAATGAAAGCAGAGGCAGACACCCACAGCTAAACACTGAACTGAATTCCTGGAACCCAGTTGCAGAGAGGGAGGAGTGAAGAGCAAAGGGGTCAAGACCAAGCTGGTGAAACCCACAGAAACAGCTAACTTGAACAAGGGGGAGCTCATGGACCCCAGACTGATGGCTGGAGGCCAGCATGGGACTGACCCAGACCCATTAAATGTGGGTGTCAGTGAGGAGGCCTCGGCAATCTATGGGGCCTCTGGTAGTAGACCAGTATTTATCCCTGATGTATGAATGGACTTTGGGAGCCCATTCCATGTGGAGGGATGCTCTCAGCCTGGACACATAGGGGAGAGCCTAGGCCCTGCCCTGGATGATATGGCAGACTTTGGGGGATACCCCATGGAGGACCTCACCCTCCCTGGGGAGCAGAGGGAGGATGGGAGTGTTGTTGGGGGTGAGGGGGAGGGGAGGGAGAGGGAGCTGGGATTGACATGTGAAGCAGGCTTGTCTCTAAATTAAAAAAAAAAACATAATTCAGCAGATGAAAAAAATAAAATAAAAGTGCTGCAGCCACTCCACCGGGACTGAAGCAGGGTCAGTAGCAGCATGGAGCACAATGGCTAACTGATGAAAGAGAAGAGAGTATGTTTCCAGCAACCCCCTCCCCAAGTCAATCTCACATGCTCCTGGGGACTGCGCGCCAGGCGGAACATAAAACCTCAAGTGTAGGAAGCAGTCTAACTTGTGGGACCCTATCCTGGGTTGACCTCACAGCCACAGGAATATCCACACACCAGCAAAAGCAAGTGTGCCCCCTCCAGGCCTGGTCCCTCTGGCGTGACCCGCACCTTTTAAAGATTTTAGTGGCACATTTTAGTTCGGTGAATTCACACTCGGAGTCTAACTACATAACTGATACACTTCACCACAGTGTCCAAAA